CTGCTCCCTCGCCGAGCTGCTGCTGCGGGGAGCTTTGGGTCAGCGTGGGAACACAGCCCATGCGGCACGGGAGCCGGCACGACAGATGCGCAGTCCCTCCGTCTGCCCCTGGAAAGCCAACGCTGCTTTGTGCGGTGGAGCAAACCTCCCTGAGCAGCGACGCTGGGAGCGAGCAGGTACCGCAGGCTCGCGTTGTGCCTGCAGCGGGCGTCCATGCTGCAGCCTCGGGGCTTTGTCCGCTGAGCTCATTTGCCAGCTGGCGTATTTGTGCTAATTACCTGCTGGCTGTTGCAAAGAGACAGCATAGCGACTGCACTGGGCCTCTCATCCCGTAGGAGGGGACAGTCCTTTGGGGCTGTCTCTGTCCCAAGAACAAAACCAAGGGGATGTGATGGCAGTGGAACTCGTGGTGCAGGTCGGGCTGGAAAGCTTGAGAGTGGCACTGCTGCCAAGAAAAAGCATCTCGGGGCCCGTGGCCCTGAGTACTTTCAGGACTTCAGTCGGATTTGCTCAAGATTCACCAGTCGGTTCAGAAGCTGTTGATAAACAGGGGGATGGCTGGGGCTCAGGAAACGAGGCTAAAAGGGAGTGCGGTGCATTAGAGGCGACAGCGGTGAAAATCAATACGTATCATTGCAGTGTTAATAACTGTCTGGTCCATTTTGTATTCACAGTGCTGCAGGGTTTGTTTGCAGACATGGCAGTGCAAACGTTTTTAAAAAGCTGAGTAATAGAATTGTTTCTTTGCATTTTATTTTGCAAAGGTTTAATTTCGCAAGTCCTGAATTTTGGACCAGATTTGAGATCAATTATTTGGACCAAATTTTACCCAAATGCTGCCGATATAGTGCTGGTGGTGTGAGAATGTATTACGTTAAAACAAATATTATTGTTGTACATAGATGTTACTTGTGAAATAATCACTAACCAAGATGCTGCTGAGTTGCAGGAGGAGTGCTGGGTTGTGAGCAGAACGCAGTTAATTAGTCCAAAGGTGGCAGTATTTATTCGGATAGCTTCATCACTCTGCAATCCCCTGCTGCAGCAATGCTGATCCAGTTATCCGAGAGAGATTTCTCACAGCCTGGGTAAAGCCATGATGGCTTTAGCAATTGCACTTACACCTGCTAAGAGGGGGCTAAGGATTGAGGCGTCCAGAAGACGCTTCTGCAGTGTGCAGTCAGCTAAATATATCGAGCAATTATTGTCTTCTTGAGAAACAAGCCGTTGCTCTCAGGTACAGGATTAGCTGTGCCCGATGACCTGATCTCCTCTAGGGATTCTGCTAAAATTATGGGCAGCGCAAGACTGTCGATAAAAGCCCTCAGTTTAATGGAGAGCCGCCAGCATTGTCTTCTGGTCTGAGCACGGGATCGGAGCCAGAACTCCTGCCCTTCATCTGGCTCTTGTCCTTCCCCTGAGAAGGGGGGAGAGAGAAAAACCCATTTAGGCTTGTGTTTTTCAGGTATGGGTACACTCTTGAGTGCTTCGGTTGTTCACTGGCCAACTTGCATCTTAATGCCCTCTTCTCAGACATGCTGAATATCATTTGGCTTCTGTGGATATTGTTTGGAGCTGTTGCTGTGCAACGGTTCTGGAAATCAGGCAGCCGCTCTCTGCTCTGGGGTTTATAAAATTAGCGAACACTTCTGTAAAGGTAAACAGCCTTTTTGCAGAGTGTAACATGAGATTAGTACTCTGCTTGCTCTCAGCACGCAGGGGCGGACAGCAGGCTGCTGAAACAGCCCTGTGCTGGGGAATAATTAGGTAGAACAGGACCCTGATGCTTAAAACCAGAGCAAGGCTCCATGTGATGCTGCACAGGCAGGATCTGGGCATTGGCTTGGGGCTGCTGCTTATGGGGTTCTCCTCAGAGGGACAAGGCTGCTGTTTTCTTGCAGGCAGAGCTAATTGTGGGTGATCAGAGTGGTGCCATTCACATCTGGGACCTGAAGACAGACCACAACGAGCAGCTGATTCCAGAGCCCGAGGTTTCCGTGAATTCGGTTCACATTGACCCCGATGCCAGTTACATGGCGGCTGTCAACAGCTCGGTAAGCTCCGACGGCCTCGAACGTGGGATGGACTGTGCCTCCCCTGGGCAGAGACAGCCAGTCTGCACGTACCGGCTTTGCCTGCAGCTTTGCTGTGGTGTGGAAAGTCCGGGCTGCTCTTGGGTGGGTGACCACCAGCCCGGCCACAGATCCCCCTGTCTCGCCACAGGGAAATTGCTACGTGTGGAACCTGACGGGTGGCATCGGAGAGGAGGTGACCCAGCTGATCCCCAAGACCAAGATCCCAGCGCACAACCGCTACGCCCTTCAGTGCAAGTTCAGCCCCGACTCCACGTGAGTGCGTGCCAGCCCCTCACCTACCTGCGCTGGCAACAGAGGTCCTTTCTGGGCAGGGAGAGACCAGCTGTGCCTCCAGCTGTTGGCTGATGCTGGCTCCACATCGCCCTGCAGGTCCCCCGGGGAGGAGCAGGACAGGAGGCATGGGACACACTGGGATGGGGTTGCTGGCAGTGGCATTCCCGCAAGCTTTGCAGCCACGAGCTGTTCTTACAGTTGGGATCGAATTGCTGATCTCTGGGAGCAAAGTGGTGAACTTGGTACTCCTTCACCAAGTCTGTTTGGCTTGAATCTCATAAGGCAGATGATATAGGTGTAAAGAAATCTGATTACAATGAACGCAGGTCTCCAATTCGTTACTGTTCCAGGCCCACATTAACGAGAGGCCCTTAGGCGTACAGCGTGACTAATAACGTTACCCTCACGTGTCTCTTCCTTGCAGGCTCTTGGCTACATGTTCTGCAGATCAGACATGTAAGATCTGGAGAACTTCAAACTTCTCTCTGATGACAGAGCTGAGCATTAAGAGCAATAACCCAGGGGAAACATCTCGGGGCTGGATGTGGGACTGCGCGTTCTCCGGGGACTCCCAGTACATCGTCACAGGTGAGGCACTGCTGCTCTCCTGCCCTTGGCCCCCAGCAGCAGGGCCCTGCACTAGCACAGGACTTGGCAGTTTCTCCAACTGGGACATTGCCAAACCCTCGTGCACCAGTACGCGAGGAGAGAGCAGCCAGCCTCACACCCACAACGCAGTCCGCTAATTCCTTGAAGCATTTTGCCTGCGCTGCAGTAGGGCATCTGTTTAAACTGGAGAGATGATCTTCATGTGGGCAGTTTATTTCACCTGGTAGCAATGCTGCTTGCAGTATGCAGCATGACAGTCCCTTCAAAACAAACATAATGTAATTTCCACAGTAACTTCTCCCCAAAATAATTAAAACCTCACATAATACAGAAATGCACTAAGCTTCTTGCTCTGCAAGGCTCCCTTACTTGTCATCAACAGCCCTAATAAAGGTGTTGAATGAAGCAAGAGGAAAGTCTTTCTTACAATAATAATTAAAAAAAAAGTTTGAAGGGTAATGCAATATATCCCACTCCTCTTTTCACTTTCTGTTCCAGCCTCCTCTGATAACCTGGCCAGACTTTGGTGTGTGGAGACGGGAGAGATCAAGAGGGAATACAGCGGCCACCAGAAAGCAGTCGTCTGCCTTGCTTTCAACGACAGCGTGTTGGGATAATGGTCTCGTGTGGGAAGTAAAGGACCTCTGCTTGTTTTTCCTCATCTTACAGTGGCAAGCACCCTCTCTGGAGCCCGAGACACGCACGTGTAACCATCCCCTGCACTGATGGAGAGGGCTTGGTCTCTGCAGAAGCAGCTGCATTTGCCTGGAGTGAGACCAGGCTTCAGCTCCGAGCAGATCATTACCAAAACATGCGTGGCCTCTAAGGGAGGCCGCTTGGACAAAAGGGAATGGGAGAGGGAGGCACGATCCCACTGAGGGGAGCTGGGTACGGGTCAGCTGGAGGAATCCCTGTGGCATCAGCTGCTGACAGCTTTGTGATGTTCTTGTACCCCAAAATGGGAAGAAAAAAAAAAAAAATCAGCCTTTGTAAATGATGGAAGAGGCTGAGCAAAGAGAGGAAAGGCAGCTGTTTTCTTGTTTTGCAATCCTTTTATTCAAAGTGTATTTCACAGACTTGCTTGGAGAGCTGCATTCTTATAAAGCCAACCACCCCCAACAAATTTAATAACCTCGTGTTGAACATGGCACGTAGCCATAAAACACTAGCTACTCCACCTGATTCCTCTAGGCCTGGATCTCCTAATACCTACGTACAAGGTGCAGCCCTGGAGCACAGCTGCAAATAAAGTGTCTGTACTGACAGTGCTGAGCAGAGTCCTGTTATTTTTCTAAACTCTCCTGAACTGCAGCATGAAATCAGCAGGAAAATGGGGGATTTTGTAGATGTTACCTTCCTTGTCGAAATCAGAGGCTTTTCAGGAATCCAGTTCAAGTATGTAGGGCAGCGAGAGGGCATCTGCGGCTGCAGGACTTACTCAGGGAGGTAATAGAAGCAGATAGACACACAAATGTTGCTTGGAAAACAGATGTCAATGCAAAGGTAGATCAGCCGCTGCTTCCCCGGACCTGCCAAATGAGCAAGGACAGAAGCAGGGTGAGAGGAATGCTTTTGCAGTCCTGCAGATACGAGTCCCTGGGGAGCCAAACAAGTGGAAAGCCTCAGGGAACGACCTTTCTCATTAAAGCTGGAGTAAGACAGAACAGAATGAGAGCTCAGCAGGCTGCTTTTGGTGAAGACGACAAGTATTAAGGCAACAGTGTCGCAGGGGACCGCTCTGTGGTGGTGTGCTGTGCAAGCAGGTTGCGTTGCCCGCAGAAGGGGGCTCGGAGCCTGTCCCAGCCAGCACCGCGGTTCACTGCAGGTTGTGGGTACGAGCCAGCGCTCGGTGATCGCTGAACAAAGGTTTGATTTTGAACTAGGGGTCACCTGTCCCTGTCCGGGCCTTGGCAGCCTGTCCCGGGATGCACATCAGCTGTTGTGCAGCAGAGCCTGCTCCTCTTAGATGTACTAGAAACGATCGTGCCTCCCTCTTCTGCAAAGGGACACGTACAACTTACCCTCCCCTCTCCTGACCCAGAAGATGGATGTCTGCTCACACAAGGTCTGGACAGCCTCCCCCAGGCTTTTGGGGTCCACCTGTTCCCCTGCCAGAATGCCCAGGAACTCCCGGTAGTACTTGGTCTGGTTATTCTGATGCAGCATCTGATCAGCCTGAAAGAAATGTCCCTGTTAATTCCCCCCAAGGCACTTTGCTCGTCCCAGCACTGCCCTCCAGCCCTGCAGACCTGCTCTCGCATTCAAGGCGCCCAAAGAGCAGTCTCTACCCCGGCAGTAAGGGCAGGTTCCTCCCAACCGCTGCCGCGTCCCACCAGGCCGCTGGGACGCTCGCTCTGGCCAGAGCAGCCTCCCAGGAGAAGCCTGGCTGCCAGGGGCAAGGCTGGAGCGGGGACAGCCCGCGGCCCCTCGCGAGCCCCGCAGCTTGGGGAGCAGGGGACGCAGTTCCTCCTGGGCCCCTCGCTGGGCTGCTTTGTCCCCAGGCCTGGAGCTAAAACACCCCGTTGTGCCAGGTGTCACCCACCACAGCCCGCTGGCAGAGGAGCATCAGTCTGACCCGTGCCTGCCTTTCCAGCGCCGCCACCCCCCCCGGGGTTCGGCTGTGGTGACCCCCGGCAGCCCTGTCCCCTCTCCAGCCCCCAGCACCGGGTGTGATGCAAATCGGCGTCCTTCAGCCCCGCGGTGGCTGGGACAGGACAAGGCTGAGCTGAGGCTCCCCAGTGCTGGTTCCCGTTCGATGGCTGCGTGGGCTGCTGGCGGCCCCAGCACCACCAACTCTTTTCCTTCCATTAAGGAGCCTCAGAGCCTGGCAGATGCTTTTCTTCTCCTTTGGCAGCCTGCTCTCATGGGTGCTGTGTTCCTACGCTCCTCTGGGTTAAACACTGCCCATCGCTTCCCGGCTGGGTGGGAGCAGCAGGCGAGGGACAAGGAGCCCCCGAGGAAATGGAGAGCCGATGGCAGGGGCACAAAAAAATGGGGCCTTCTGTCTCCTTGAAACAGAATCTGCCCCCCTCCCATGCATCCATTAACATTTTGTTCAGAGGGTCCGCATACATGATTTACTCCAACTTTCTTCCCTGTGAGTTGCTAACAAACCCCCTTTGTTTTTTGTCCCCCAGATTTTTGAGCAGGTAACAGAATCCAGTGGGAGCGGGGCCTGCTATTCACCTCCGTGGGACATATCCCCCTTCCCCGGCCTGCAACTCTGCTGTTTCTCACAGAAAACAGGGTATCGATAAAACCGGGAGTCGTTGCTCTGAGCTCGCACGCTGAGCGCAGCACTGCAAGGCAGAGCTCTGCTCCTACGCCGGACACCAACCCAGCCCCCCCGAGCAGCGAATCGCACAGACCAGGGGGCTGCTGCTGCTACCCCCGGCTGGGAGAGCCCGTGCCCACATTTAGCCACGCTTGGGACGCTGGTGTTAAAGAGTCACCACCGCGAGCACAAACCGATGCAGGAAAGGGCCTTCAGCGAGCCAGGACTCCATGCAAAGCCCAGTTCATCACCCCGCCGCCCCAGGGAACGGCCGCAGCAGCTGCTCACTCTCTGCTCAGACGTGTTGAGAGATGTCTGTAGGGTCCGGAGGTCCCAGGCGTCCATCCTCCTCAGGTAGCACGCACGCTGCTCCACGGGTTTGTAGCACACGTAGCCCTGTGAGACAGGTTGTGCCCTGTGAGAGCAGGCAGCGGCACGCACCCGCAGCTCTCTTAAGAGCTCCAAAAGTAGACATTCCTCCTTTTGTCCTGCATTATCTTTCCTAACTAAAGGTGCAGAGAAAGGCACCAAACAGTAGCTGGTTGATGTTTTTCCTGGTCTACACCTCCTGCTCCCACCCCAGCAGCTCTTCTCTAAGCAGCCTGGGCTCCTCTGCTCGCTTCCAGGCTAGTGAGGCAGGTAATTATCCCAACACACTTACGTTCCTGCTGTCATACAGCACCACAGCGGTGTGGTTACTCTGCGAGGTTATGTAGTAGGTCACGGTGCTCCTGGACTTGTCCACCAAGGCTGTCTGATTCCTCAGCGGGTCTTGCTGGCCCTGGAGCGTTAGCCGGACGAGCTGAGAGCCAGCCTGAGCACAGAGAGGGACGGCAGCACCAACCATCAGCTGTTCAGTGTGCGCAGCATCTCCCCACCGACATCCCCCCTCGGACCCTTCGTTGGTCCCTGTTACTTGTCTGAATTATTTAGCAACAGCAGCAAGCTCTGACCCGAGGGAGGGGAGCAGATCTGTGAAGCAGACGGCTCCCCGTCACGCAGGGCTGGGGAAGAGGTGCCGGTGCCCCTCACGCTGAAGGCACCCACCCTGCCAGGCAGCAGGGTGCTGGGGGAAAGGTCCAGGGGACTCGCCAGCCTCTGCCCCAGCCGCGCACGGGGGGAGGCTGGGATCTGCCTCCCCAGCCAGC